TTTTTTGTTTTTTTTGATTTTTTTTTCACCCCGCAAAAATAAAAATAAGAGAAAATATTGGAAAAAAAAATAAAAGGGTTATTTTTTTGGATGGTTTTTGGAGTAGCGTAACAACCCTTTTTCCCGGTTTAACTGGGGCTTTTGGGCCCCAAAAAAAATTTTTTAAGAGCCCCCCCCCCCCCCCTTAAAAAGCCCCCGCACCCCCCCCCCCCCCCCTTCCCCCAAGGTCTGCAGGGTTGTCACTAAGATTTTAAGTTGCCAGGAAAATACAAGAATAGACGGGGAATCAAACAGCTAGGGGTTTCTTTTGGTTCTATTTTTCTGCTATACTTTTCCTTTGAAAGTAGTTGGGGGGCACATTCTTAGTAGCTGGGAAAATCCCCAGCCCCGCCTCTTAATGACAGCCCTGGGTCTGGGTCTGCCAGAATGGTTCAGATGTTTATTAGGCTGGCAATAATGATGATGACTATGATGTTAATGATGGTGATGATGAAGATAGTGATGACTTCGTTGATGATAATGACGACAATGATGATGAACTTTGAATGCTTGTTTCCTTGCAAAGTGAGGTTTCAAAGTTTTGGCTCCGTTTTGCAATTTGGTAATTTCATAAGTGAATGTTTTTTGTTGTTGTTATAATTAACGAGTGTTTGGTTGTTTCATGTTTGTTTTCAAGGAAGAGATGGTTAAAAGAAACTGGAAGCCCAAAGTCCAGAATTGACAGGTGTGAATTTAAAAATGAAAGAACAATCACCAAACTGGAGTTCAGTGATTTTACCATCCGAAAATAACAGACAAGAATTTCTTCTTTACTATTGGAAGGCAAGCAAATTTGCATTCAAGAATCCTTTAATTAGCTGGTGTAAAATTGCCCTCAAATAAGCCAACAGAAAGCCAAGAGGAAACATATGGAGAAAAACTAATAACAACATTCCTCCTCTGTCAGGAAAGACTTACATAAAACATAATTTGTATTTTACACAAAGTCTGTGTCATATTTCTTGGAAATATCATTAATTATCTGAAGAAAAGCTGCATTGGTGTTTTTCTGCCTTGCTTTTTTGAACAATAATTATTCATACCTAGTATTTCACAAACACTCTGTTTTCGTATTAAACCAGCATTTAACCTGTGATCAGGCTTTTTTTTTTTTCCGGGGAAAAAACAAAAAGGGAAGAAGGACACCTGATCACAGGTTAACCAGTATTAAGTGTTATTCAAATTTAATGGAAGGAGCTTCCATTTCCCATGCTTATCTTACTTAAGGGGGTAAGTGCTATTTGCTATCTTTTTTAAAAAGCTAACACCTTTTTCGCAACTGTTAAATTCTAAATATAATGGTCCAGTTTTGTTATTTAAGACTTAAGTTTGGCTTTGAAACTGTTTCCTGTCGTCTGTTGCAATGGATAGCAAGGATGGAAATGGATTGAAACTTGTTGAGCCAACTTTTTCAAATCTTGATGCTATAATGCACACTTGCACCTTAAACTGCAGACGTGTAGTTTAAACCCCTGCTCTGTGGCTGTGTCAAGTTTTCAACAGTGTGATGTTGCATTGATGGTTTTTCCAAAGTTAAATCTTGTATGTACTTAGTATTCAGCCTTTGTGCTTTCCATTTGAAAACGTTCTTGGCTTAACTGGATCTCCTACACATTGCTACATAGGTACAATGTAGCACTTATATTCGCGTTTCTTTGGTGATTTCTTGTTGGCCACATAACTTAATTTCCGGCCAGGCCGAAGGGTATCGAGGTGTTATAATACACACCTATAAAATCCTTGTCCTGTTTAAGAGCCCAGCTTATTCAGTAAATAAACAAAACCCAAAACGGAATGTCAACCAAAATGTGTCAGTTTGTTGTTGTTGTTGACAACTCATCCTCCACAACCTCCGCCACCACCCCCGCCGCATCCTCCACCCCCACCACACCCTCCTCCTCCGCCACATCCGCCGCCAGCACCACACCCTCCTCCATCACCACCACCACCATCTGCACCAACACAGCCTCCACCACCGCCAACACACCCTCCACCATCACCATCCCCTCCCACACAACCTCCACTTCCGGTATCACTGAAGCACCCACCTCCTCCTGAATCAAAACCCGCCCCAACCCAGTAACTATCAGCTTCTACTTGTGCGGAATCTTCGCCCCAGACGTAGCTGAAATCATTGTAGAAATCGTAAAAGTTAAGTTGAGAAAGGGCTTGGTAAGTGATCCTGCAGCCTTTTCCTGTCACTGAGAGAAACACGTTGGTTGGCACCCTTTTGCTGAAGTAACCAGCACTGTGAAAAGAAGGAGATACTACGCTGTTGTTGGAGCCTTTAGCTAGTGAGGGCATGGGTTCCAGGGGCGGTTTTGGCTCGTAAGGTGTACATAGAAGATACAAGATAGACACTGAAAACGCCAAGGCCAGTAACTCTGGAATATCCTGGGCTCGAGGAGATAATACAACTTTATTCTCCTTAAGATCTATTCTCACCATGGTGTCAGAATCAACCTTGATTATGAACAATCCGTTTTCGTATTTGCGAACAGAACACCAGCCACACTGGCCAAACAGCTTGAAGACTCTTATTTTGACATAGTGTTGTGCCTTTGAATTTCTTGTACCGATGACTTTAGGCGTCCACTGCCATCTACCAATGCATATCGCCCAGTCTTTCTGACCTCGGATAAGCATCGCTCTCTCACCTTTCTTCTGTTCAAGGTAGACGCTGTTTTCATGATCTCGTATGTCGCCTTTCTCTGGAAGTGTACTAGCCCCGATTGTATGGCTGGTTGCCACCACCTTTCCATGAACACTGATGATCTCAGCAGCAGACAAAAGTGCATCCGTTGAATGAACAACTCGGCAACGGAAGACCTGATTCTCTCTCCAGTCTAATACAGGATGAATGGAATATTCGCAAGGGACAGATGGCTTGCAAAGATCATTTGGTGAAATTACTGTCAGCAGCGGATAACTCAGAATCATTGACGGATGGGCGCAATATGTAAAATCTTTTTCAGCTTGAATTTGAAAGCTGTATTTGACAATAGTTGGGTAATCAATCCCCACGGTTACCTTTGCCACATACTGCTCTGGATAACTGACCAGGGGAACATCAATTGTGATTTGCTGATAAGGTCCTACTGCATGGTCGACGAATGGCACATCTTCAAGGTAGGGGAGAAGATTCAACTTTTCCTGCGCAATGAACCTCTCCCCAAACAGTTTCTTTCTGTAAAGGCGAACATTAACTGAATTTTTGTCCCCATTGTCAAAAGTAAACTTTTTAGCACGCGGATTACTTGCTTTAGAATCCCCTTTGAATTTCTGCGAAAATAGTTTTCTGCGGAATATATTTACCAACCGAACAACAAATGTCTTTTTTCGCTGTAGTCCCTGTGCGTCAATGCTTTTGAATTCGCATGGATATTCTGAACGTGCGAGGACAGCATAAAACCATTTGCTTCTTGGTGGTCTTGGCTCTAGTGGATCACCTCTGTACATGGCTCCTGGCTTGAAAAAACTTTTGCCACTTGCTGCCCAGACTTCCCTTGTTTTTATTTCAGAATTGTACAACTTAGACCCTGGCGTTCGACTTGTTTCAGTATCGTTGTGATGCAGGGGCTTTCCCAGAATCATCTCTGTTGCATGCCTGTAATTCACTGGATGAAGTTGATGCACGTGCCAAATCAGGTCAAAATCATAACATGGAACCATAAAAACGTTCAGATGCTGACTTTTCAGATGAAGATGATGTTCATAACGATCAACTGCCTGTGAGAGGAACTGGTCATCTCTGTAATGGGGTAACGAAACTTGGTAGTAGAATTTGAACTGGCGTAAACAAGCTTCCTCCAGTTTGTACTGTATTCTAGATTGATAATTTATGACAACTGTTGGAGGGTTGTTCAGATCAACTTCAAAGGGTTTGGCTGGGTAGGCATTTTGCCAGAGACATTTTGCATTTTGAAGACCTTCCTGTCTTTGTGTGACGTCTAAAGGAGAGTGATCGACCAATTTGGATACTACATTGGTGCAATCCTTTTCGTAGTGATACGGGGCAAGCATGTGTACATGCCACACCCATGCAATGTCCAAAGGAGCCGCCATCTGGGAATGAGTGTTATGCCTTGCAGCAAGAGGCAACCACAGTTGCTCATACCTCCTGATGGCCTCTCTTAGAAGTGGCCCAGCACGAAGATTTGGGTATTTTGCTACCTCTTCAAGAAAAGCCAGTTCATTTTTGGCTGCCTGGATCAGATCTATTCCGAAGTGACGCTGAACCTGGGACATCTTTTCAAGTTATTTCAAGCAACCACAGACCTAGAAGACAAAGTCATTCCACTCACCGGTCACTCTTATAAAAATGTTCATGCTAACCCTTTAAACCCTAAGATCAAAATTTGAATTCTCATTTGTTTCCCCAGCCTATATTTTATTTCCTACAGAAGTAGTGCCAGGGGAGAAGTTGATAAAATTTCAAGCAAATTCATCTTGTGTTATCATGTCCGTAATTCTCATGACCACTCTGTTTTACAAGGCATTGATATTACAAGGAGAAATTTGATGCTGATCACTCTTAGGGTTTAAGGGTTTAAAACACTTACCTCCAATGAATATGGAACTGTTTATCTTTACAAGACATAAACTTCGACTGTAAATTTTATATTCATTTAGTGATACTCCCGTCATATGGAAGAGGTTTGTAGCATGCAAACAAGCTATCTTTACTATCAACTCGTCTGTGCGGACACCTTGTATCACAGACACCCGCATGGGAATTTTGACTGTAGCAGGGGGATGTTACTAAAACGGGGAACGGGAAAATGAAAACTGGAGACATAATGGAGAATTGTAAATGGAGTTACTGATGGGGCTAGAGTTCAGGTTGGTTTTGTTGCCCTTTTTTTTCATTTTTCTTGCTCATTTCCCACTTTCTATTCCCCTCTCCCCATTCCCCCTTCCCGTTCCCCGCTTCCCACTCCCGTTTCAGTAACATCTGTAGAGCAACTTTGGATAGCAACCCTCACCTATATCCTTTAAGTTACCAGTTAAATCAAAGAAGAACAAAAATCACCAAAACGTAATGTCAACCAAAAAGTTTCAGTTTGTTGTTGTTGTTAATTCATCTGTGTTACTTCATCGTTTACCTGTTTATACAACAGGAAAGAAAATCGATATTACAGTACAAACAAGGACTGTCAAATTGTCTTAACCTTACAAGCATACCAGTTATAAGCATCCAAAGCTATTCCAGTGGCAGTTTATAATCTTCAAGTAAGCGAGGGGTGGGTCAGATAGCAACCTTCCCCCATCCCTTAAATTACCTGCTAAATCATCTGAAGAACAAAAATCACTGCAAGTGGAGAAAAAAGGACTTAATCAAAAGTTTCACGTTATGAAACAAAAAACCTACCCGTGGCATTTTAATCATTTCATATGTATGTACTATACTGGATGCCTTGTTTGCGGTATAGCATGAACAGCTCGAGCCGGAAATGGAACACATTGCTCACACACATTCAACATGGTGCTGGAGTGGTTGGCCGAGACGGTTTGGTGAAACTGAAATATAAATCCCCACTTCTATTTTTTTTACTGCCCTCTCAGTAGGTCCCAATCCTTGATCAGACTTTTTCACTTCTGCTATGGTCCGAATACCTGTTCACACTGTACCTGTAAAGAGTGGCACAGAGGCTAGCTGTTCGTATGTGTGAACAGAAACCCTATATGTGGTATGGCTTATTAATGAATCATACTGGCACAAGAGCTATCCCGCATAGTGTGAACATAGCCTTAATAAGCACAACAACAACAACTCTGCACTGCACTTGCAGGCCATAGGGGCCATTTTTGGGATGCTTTGCAAAGAATGGATTTAGAGAAATGATAAAAATGCCACGGAAAGATTTTTACTATCATAAAGTGACACTTTTGGTTAAGTTTATTCTTTCCACTTGCACTGATTTTTGTGCTTCTACTTTCAATTAATAGTTAAAAAATTAAAATATTTCATTTTACATATACTTAAATTAAAATATTCTGAACAAGTGAATCAAAAATAGAGATTAGATCTTATATAAATTGCCACGGAAAGGAATAAAAATGCAAATTTTGATTGAGTTCAACATTGTTTTCCTATTGTTTCCATTGTTTTTGATCAATGAACTTATGAACTCCTCTAATTACCTTTATCAATATACAATTCATAAAATACAGTATATTTCAGCTTGCTTTGATGTTCGTGACAAATTTTTATCAAAGTAATGTAGTTGCCCTAAGATGTTGCAATGCTGTTGTATGGTCATGCAAATAAAGCTCGTTGTTGAGACGTGCATGAAAACATGCTGGAAGACTTTCTAGGCAACACAAGCGTGTTTTACGACGAAAATTCGACAAAAGTAAAAAATGGCCAAAGTTTCTGAGAATAACTTAATTTTGGTGCTTTAACACTTTTCTTGAGAAGAAAAAAGTTACATGCAAACTCGTGCGGAATCGGGTAATGGAAGACCAACTGGCGTTACTAACGCAGAGTTAAATCGGTAACATTCCGTCTCTTAATCGTTTTTATGCTGCCTGCAACACACGACCCAACTCATGATCATGCTTAGCCTGTTCCAAGCGTTCAGATAGTGGAGAGCGGTGTGAAGAAGAGAGAGCGATGAAAAGTATATTTTTTCGCGCTCCTTTTTACTTCGCATTGCTCCCCACTATCTGAACAACGCCTGGAACAGGCCAGATCAAAAGCTGTGTGCAGTACATCTACCTTTCTGTAGGAAAAAAAACGACTTATTTCTTATCGTCACAATAATTTACATATAGTATGGCTATACTTCATCGAACGGTGTACTTACCTGTTGCCGTTGGTTCTTCTTTATCATCGCTGCTACTTGGGACTCTCTCACTTGGTGCGTTTTGGTGGTGGTTTACATGAGGATGTTTAGACACGAATATGTCACGCCACTTAGCCTGCGTAACAAGCGTTTCCGTTTGGTTTCGGAGCAGAGAAAGATCGAGGAACGGGATTCTCGATTTTGGCCGGCGAGAAATGAAACAAGAGCCAAAAACTGAAAGTGCTCTTTTACTTACGCCATTTTTCGCGCGGTCTTTGACTCTCGTTCCTCCTCGTTCTTTGCTCCTAAACCGCACGGAAACGCTTGCTACGCAGCCTACACGCCACCTGACACGATTCACTGAGGGGAACGGCATAGCGTGCGTAGCAAGCGTTCCCGTTGGGAAAACTCTCGTTCCTTGTTCTTTGCTCCGAAGCCGCACGGAAGCGCTTGCTACGCGGGCTAGGAGCAACGCGAAGTAAAGGGAGCGCAAAAAAATTAACCCAGAAGGCGTTGCGTCTCCTGTCCTCCCGCGACTGTGTCCCCCGCAGAGACTCCCGCTGGGTATCCCAATAAAAAGAGCGCGGTGGACGATGCCCCGCGCCTTCTGTTTCTTTCTCCCCAGACTCCCTACAACACAAAGAGGCCTCTGCGGGGGAGAGGGCTCCTGCGATGGAGACGACTTAGGTAACTGGAGAGGGCTGGTCATTTCAGATATTATAATAAGAAGAAGATCTAAAAGAACATTAATATTGTTATATATATAGCGCCTATCCAGTAATCAGGGTTCTATCTAGGTTATTTGAGGGGTAGAAGCTTCCCCCCCAAAATACCCAGCTTCCCCCCCCCAAAAAAATATTGTTATCATTACAGTAGTAACTATATCGGAAAAATCATCCAGACGCGACGAGGTCAGTGCACATTTCTCAAAATTGGGTCTCAAAATGCACCAGATTGCATCTCAGTGCATATTCATCTCAAAAAATTTCCGGGGGAACATGCCCCCGGACCCCCCTAGGAAGCTCGTGGCCTTCGGCCAATCGGGACTTCTCCCCCAAACGATAAATCCTAGATAGAACCCTGGTAATAGATCTAGGCGCTTAACAAAGTGAAAAAATTAGAATTAAAAATTGATTAAAATAAGAAAAATGGGTACCGTGAACTCCAACAATATGTATAACTTTGAACTGGCGAATCAAATGGGAACTTTCTTTTACAGAAAATCGAGTCCATTGGTTCTAAGCTCGATAACATGGTACAGGGGCTACCATCCCTTACTGATGACCACAGCCCAGTATCACCTCCCCCGCTCAGCAAATTCAACCTCCTTTCAGAGGAGGAGCCTCGCTAACTTAGCAGCCGCAGTGCAAGGAAAAGCTGCAGTTTGGACCCTATACCGACATCCCTAGTGATGGATTGTATTGACGTGTTTTTACCGATCATAACGAAAATGATTAAAGTATCTCTAGAGTCTAGGTTGTTCGCTGACGACTGGAAGTGTGCGCTCGTGCTTTCCCTATTGAAGAGGCTTGGGCTAGACCTCCTAGGAACTGCAGACCTGTCAGTAACTTGCAATATATCTCCAAGCTGACTAAGACGGCGGTGTTTGAACAAATACACAACCATATAATAAATCATTCACTACATCCCGGCGAGTTTCATTCATCATATCGTCAAAATCATAGCAAGGAAACGGCTCTTGTCAAAGTCACAAATGATATTCTCATGAAAATAAACACTCAGGAGGAGACTTTGTTGGTCATACTTGACCTCAGCGCCGCTTTTGATACAGTCAATTACAATATCCTGCTGACATGTCTAGATAAGGAGTTTGAGATATGCGGAGTTGCCTTGGAATGGTTCAAGTCATACTTGGCCAACAAAGGTCAGCGAGTCTCCATTAACGGATCCCTCTCATAGCGCTTAAATTTGAACCGTTGTGTTCCACAAGGGTCATGTCTGGCACCCCTTTTATTCATCACCCATGCATCCAAACTATTTAGGGTGGTTGAAGATCAGCTTTCACACAAACGCTGCTACGCGGACGACACGCAGATTTATCTGAGTTTTAAGCCTAGCAACAGTACATCACAGTAGGATGCAATTCGAGTGATGGAATGTTGCATTAAGAAGATCTGGCGCTGGCTGATCCAGGACAGACTCCTTGTTAATGACGATCAGACTGAGTTTATGGTTATTGGAACTCGGCAGCAATTTCGCAAATTGCAGGCTGTTAGCATCAAAGTAGGTAGCTCGGAGAAAGAAAAAAACAAAAGTTTTCGGATTCAAAAATTTGATTGAGAGAAGCCGTGCCAGGCAAGGGTCTAGGGCCCCATTTGCACTTGCCCTTTTGGGAATCCGCAATAGTTTTTTGGTGAAGACGCCATTTTTGTTTCGCTAGTATATTGTTTGTGGCAATTTTTTATATTCAGTTAGGTATATCAGATATTTCGAAGGGCAGGATCCATCAAAAAACACTTCCTTGCCTTTTTTATCAGAGTTTCCCCTAAAGTTAAAGAGACCTACTGTTTACATTAAAAAATTGTTTATTTAAGAAACAATTATATAAATTTGCAAAATTTAAAGATACAAAGAAAATTATTTCATTCTAAGCTAAGATGTAAGTTAAATCATATAACAATAAAAAGTGTTCCTTGACTGCAAGTGTCAAAGGTATTCTTTGATCCACTTTCGAGCTGACTCAATGTCCTTGTCAACCTTTTCTTTGGTATCCTTGTCAAAGGATGGAAGAGAACTGTAATAAAATAATAATAATAAAAGAGAAAAGACGTGAATCATTTTGTGTCACTTCTCTAAAAGGCAAAAACATTATTATGGTTTAAACTGAAAGTAGCCTTACAAATGTATATGATATAAATACCACTTTGAACAGCAAAACAGAAGTATAACAATGAGAAAAAAATCATAGTTCCGTCATGTTTGCACACGTGACACATGTTCTAAGAGGTTCATGGTATTAATTGAGACAGATCCTGAATTTAATCCATGATGATTTTCATCAGAGTACACTATACCAACACCTTCTGACAGATGTTTATTAAATAAAGACCAGTCAAACATTTCTAGCCACAACACCTTTATCGCTGGCCATTATCAGAAGGCAGGGGTCTACACTGTAGATAGAATACGAGCAGTCTCTCTTTTTTCTTAGTCCCTTAAGTGAAACGCTAAAGACAAGAAAATAACCACACAAATGACTAAAGGGGCGAGACAGGAGAAGCTACTGCCCTGTTTCTTGGGTCCTGATGTTCACACGGGCATACACTCCCCTCACAAAAAAAAATAAATGAAGAAAGGGAGAGACTGTTCGCAGTATAGGGTGAATTACAGTGTATTGTGACAAAATGAGTTCAAAAGAAGAGTAGAAAATGTTTATCAGTTTTCTCAATGGTTATTCAAGAATATTCATACAGCTGCATGTGCATGCAGTGTAATTAAAAAATATGTCAATAAAACACAAATCAGATATTTACAACAAAATTGTTACAAAGCAAGGTGAGTATGCAACATCAATTTATTCACCACTCTCTTTTAAGGAGGGGTGGGGGAACATATTCCAGTAGTTTGAATTTCACATATTGTGAAGGTAGGGCCCATGTCCCTGTTGGTATTTTCCCATTGTATTTGTGCTTGTCCTCATCACTGTCCCAATCTCAATTCATTTTTGTGTTGTTTGTCTCTATTTCATCTGTCTTATGTTGCTGTTTCAAGGCCGTGTCACTTCTCAGAACTGTTCCCAACAGGGCGTTGCAGTGGAAAAGTGCACTAGTTTTTTAATAGACTGAGGTTAAAACAAGGGTGAAAGAATGGATTATTGGTACTGTTTGCTAGCTGGGACAAATAAAGGGGGCTGTAGTAGAAAGGAGGCCATTTTAGTGAGCGAACAATGGTGGGGGTTCAAATGTGATACAATAATGGGAAAAGCAGCCACACATTAATAGTACATGATATCGTTCTATTTAATGACTTTATGCATTCCTTGGATACCTATTATCTACATGTGAACTTAAACTCTCCCATTATGAACCAAACTTACTTGTAAATTGCTGAGCTCACAACATCAACAACTCCACCTACATGGAAACAGGACAAGTTATTTAACATTTGGGTCTTCCAAAGTTATAGCTAAAATAACCTGTAGATACGACCTTTGTTTGGCCAAAAACATGTGGCTATACCGATGAGATGGTTGTGTGACGTTTTTGAAAAGAAAATGACTGAGTGTTTTAATTTTGGGTCAATAAAATGTGGTTGTATAAACAATGTGGTTGAAAGGAGTATCTAAAGCTACGCCCAGAGGGGAAGAGGGGGGTACTCTGGATTTCAAGTGACAGGGACTATTGAATGGAGGCAAAAATCAAAACCCCCCAAAATTCCTGGACCAAAATTTAACCCCCAAAAAATTCCATGCCCAATTTCTGAGCCATAAAAATTTCCAGAAAGCTTTAAAATGATATAACATGAAAAACAGAAACGTTTGTAATGGAGTATTTGTGTTTGTTTATTCATATGCAGCAGGGATATGGGGGAACTATCACGAATCTTCAGATTGTTTTGAATACCCCCCAAAAAATCCCTACCTAAATCAAGCTACCAAAAAATACTTGCCAAAATTTTCCTACTCAAAAAATTTCCTGAAATCAAAAATTTCAAACCCCAACAAATTCCTTCAATCATCCCTGTCACTTGAAATCCAGAGAACCCCTACTGGGAGGCTAAGTTCACAATACTGGAAACCTTTTGCTCTGGTATGAAAACCATACCGGATTTACATGTAGGGCTCCTCCTGATCACATATAACAAGTGTGATTTCTGTAATGGAGTGAAGCTGTGAAGCACCAATCTTATAAGTGGAAAGTCACATATCGGATACAATGTAGCTATCCATACTACAATCATGTACATGTATAACGAATAGCTTTTCGTGTTGGCACAAAAAGCTATTTGGTATAGTGTGAACATAGCCTAAGAGCTGTTTATAATAGAGAAGAGAAGTCATTACGTGACGTTGCCATGGTAGCAAAATTTCTGGATGACAACAAGCAGGAAACTTCACTTAAAAAGTGAATTTGCACCCTTCAAACTTCATCGATCTTATTCAATTTCATTTAATTTGTCAAATGTTGGCACAATTTTCTAGGGTTGGATCCAAAAGAACCATATCTAAGTTTAGAAAGGGAAAAAGAAAATTTTTGTGTTGTGTTCACATACTCCATAAAGTGGGCAAGTTGAATTAGGAACTTTCATGTCACAGTCATACAACGAAGACTATTTGGAAATGTAAAAAAAGGGTGATGCACATGCAAAGTTGTTGTTTTGCTAATTCAAACCTATTGCTTTTTTGGCCATTCTCATCGCCGTCGCCGTTGCTTAAGCTCCCTACTGTAGTGATCCAAAAATTTTGATACCCTGGTAACGTCAGGTCACCCTTCTCTCCTCTATTAGAACAGGCATTTTTCCAGGTATCTGGCTTCAACTACATGTGACTTGCTTTGTGGAAAAGTATCATGTTCTCTTGCCAGGTCTGAATCCCAAAATGTGAAACCAATGAATCACGCTTTTTTCTCTATATCTTGTCTCTACACTCTCAAGGTTTGCTTATTATTTCTTATTCAAATTGCACCATATAACCAGTATTCTTGGAACAATAAATTGCTGTACAGATAGATTAATAATTGCATTACTTTGTCAAAATAGTAGACATTTTTGCACATAATGCAACCTCCTGGTAACTCCACTGTCTTGTTCGATTTCCATTTTCACACTCTTTCAGAAGGAATCAGACAGCCTGAAATCAACACTCTGTCGGTATTATTAAAGGCAACTAACCTGGAACACAGACTACATCACACAAACTGCACAGGTTGCAATATTTACAGTACTGCAAGATAAAATGAGAAAAGTACTTTATAATCATCCTACTTGTACTCCATGCAGCATACAACCACCAAGTTCATGTAATTACTTGGTATACATAACATGATAATTTAAGCCACAATAAAGTGTTTGACTCAACTAGAAGCTCTTGAAAATGATTTCTAACTGCACAGTTTATTGGGATTGAAGTAATTAGGTATTACTAGCTTTGGCAAGCTTATGATGCTTGGCAATGATGTGGAAAGAAGTTGAGTGAGATTGGAACCCAAGTTTGCAAATCATACATGTATAGTAAAGTAAGTTACCAGTTTCGTCTCGCTCATTGTGAGACAAGTGAGTCATCTCTAGAGACAAAATTCCTTTCTTATGAGAATCACTGAAGTGGCAATTTTAATGGGTGAAGCTTGATTTCTCAATGATTGAGAAATGAAATGACAACAAAACAACAAAATAAAAGTTACAATAAGTCAATTTTAATTTCTGCCTTAACTTTAACTGTGTCTAATTGTCTATGTCTATAAGTTCAAAGTGGTGTCTTTACCAAGCTGGCGAAGCATAACAGTCCAGAACTTAGTATTTCTCTATTGAAAAAAGTTTATTAGAACCAAAGTACATGTATAATCTGGGTATGTTTCAAAGTCAGCAGAAATCCTGAGGTGGAAAATTTGCTTGAGTCAAGATGATGTTGTCTGTTCGCAACCAAAGTAACAGAAAACAGTACAAGGCTGATATGATTAATTCTCAATAATTTTTAATTTCATGCAGCATTACTCTTCATGATCATTTGCCAGTTTTGTCACAACATTTGCAAGCATAAAATTTTATTCAAAATTTTAGTTTATTTTCAACATTTTAGCAGTTTAAATGACAAAAATCAAACTTACCTTGCACAAATGACAATTTGGCTTCTTCTTACTGGTTTCACATGGGCAATCCTTGTCACACAATTCACAAAACTAAAAGACAGATCAACATGACCCCAGGATGTTACTGTAGTTATGTTAAGGCCAGTCAAGGTATGATTTTTGCTTACAACTATCGTGCTCGACTAGCAAGTGATACGTCATGACTTTCAACAATCCATAAACGCACAATTTTTACTAACGCCATCCACAATGTATCGTACGAATGTCATGGGTCTAATTCACACGACATGATCTATTGTGAAGTCATAACACATGGTAGTCGCGCATGATAGTAGTAAGCAAAAATTGTACCTCTAAATCAGCCTTTACAGGTCAAATTTGACTGAATATACTTGGTAAGGTTAATTTTGATTTGACCTAGGTTGATTCTCAATTTCCTAATTTGTCTCTTAGCCCTAATTCATGAATAATTAGGGCTAGGAAACAAAGGAAATAATTGAGAATCAACCTAGGTTAAAAATTTTTAACCTGAATTTAATTTTGACCTGTGTCATATAATGTGTAAATTGCTATTCTTTTGTTTTTCACTTAATGGAATGATTAACTAAAATATTCTATTACTGCTAGACATTTTTGGACCATGAGTGACTAGAAGTGAGATCAGTCTACAATCCACAAGTTGTGAGAAGAAAATAACTAGGTGTAAAGGAAAAAAAGTCTGCTCACAGACTTGTTTGCAGAGTTGTTATAACAGTCACTCATCAGGCAATGTCAGAATAACATTTGCCCAATATGTCTAAAACAAAATTCTCTTTGCAGCTGGACAAAATGACTGGGCAGAACATAAATTATTACCAAGACTATCAGTTTGAAGCTGCATAAGCCCACACACTCTAACAAGCACCCTTCCCCAAATAAGCATCCACCCCCTTGGGCATAATATCAGTCAGTGCCCCTCTTGAAAAAGCCCTCCTCTTGGCTCCCCATGACTTTCAAAAGCAGGTGAAGCACAATCATCTGGGTGATCGTAGTGATTTAATGTTAAACACACACTATACTTTATTTTCATACACATCATTTTGCCATCTCGGCCCACAAACAGCAAAAGCTAGATGAGGCGGGCGGAGACATTTAAATAGGAGCCTTAGATTTAACTACTAGACAATATGTAGTTATAGTTTTTGGTTTTATATTTCTATCTTTTCAAAAAAGATTTCACGCCAAAATAAAATAACAGCCCATTGAATGGAAAACTTAATAAGCACCCTTCTTTACGTAAGTACCTGTGTGCTTATTTGAGGAAAGATTTTTGTATGAACATGATACCACAGGTCGCCCAGACGTAGTGTCTGTCAATAACATGGAAAAATTGGGATGAGCCATCGAATCTCCCATGAACTAAAATAGTCCAGAAGTCAAAATATAACAAAACAAAGCTAACAATACCTTTAACTGAATGTCTCCTTGTCTCTCCTGGCCAGTTAAATTAAAGTGGCATTTTGTCAAGTTTTGCAATTGTAGGTACTATCCACTAAAGAAGAATGAAAGGCTGGCTACAATAACAAACGGACCATCTCCAAGCACCTCCACGCGAAGCGCTATAAATTTGAGAAGAATTGACGATCCCGCAAGCTCCAGGATTTTAATCCCATGAATAACAATAATATTTTTCGGTTCCATGCCCAGAGATCATAGGAAACTATTGGTAACAATTTTTTGGTCAGGGTTGACGTTGCGACCAAACTCTCTAATGATTTGTCTAAACGCTTTAACGATTTCTTCTAACACTCTAATGGATTATTCTTATGATCTAACGGTTGGTCCGTCTAATGTTTGACTTTTACTTGAAAAAGGATTGTGAAAATCAGCTAGTGATGAAATTGACGGAAGTCTTATCGACTTTCGGGCAAATCGATCGCAATTCTCAACAGGTCGAGCCATGTTTCTCCAGGAATGACTTTTAGTGCATTGATTAAAAACAATTCCTTTATGTCGAACATGTATCTCGATTGCGGACTCAATACCAGATTAGTCTGATAAACATTTAAGTTAATTGAGAACGAACGGCGCTTATTTCTGGAGCTTCTTGTAAACAACTATGAGCAAATTTCTGTTGAGCGTGACAACCAAAATAAAAGCTCTGCCGTATTTTATTGACTTCTAATGAAGTACCGTTGAAGTCATGCTGTTTGTCAAACAGACTTCTCGTGAAATCAACTTCTTTGCCCTAAAACATTAGCGACATTTTCTCTTTCTGGAGACTTGTGATAGTGTGCAAGGCAACGAAATAGATGAAGTTTCACCGATGTTCATTTCTGAACATGCAAATACATTGTATGGGATGCAAAACAAATGTTTGCAGATTGTGTTCTTTAACAACCCAAATAAGTTTTTTTTTATGATTCCTAAAGTTTGTTTATCTAAATGTGTATTCCATTTCCTGAACCTTAAGCTTGAATACCTGTTTGAGGAGATTTACGCTTGAGTGTGGGGTCATTTTCCCAAACACTGGCTGGTAATCCAGCCTCGTGAGAAAACCATTCGAAAAAAAGTTCAAAAGGAATTCGAAGTCTAAAGCATTCTTTTTCTGTTAAGGCTAAGTAAAAGAAGTTAAGTTTATTGTATGCCATTAATTCTTAATATAAAATGTCAGAAGAAGGTCAGTTTAAGTGTTAAATGTGTGTGCACTAAGTTGTCAAAAACTCCAGAAACCTCTTCAATCCAACTAAAAAAGTAAGCTTATACTAGACTTATACTCGCTACAGATCTTGTCTTTTCATAAGGAGATTCGGGACTCATCATCAGTTTCAACAGTGAAATTGTCACTAAAAGACTACATTCTAATTGTTTTTAAGCTTTTGGCATCATATTTTTTTCTTGGCAGTGGAGGCCATAACAATTGCTGTTGTTAAGTGTAAAACAATATTCTCAGTTCATGCGTAAATCATCAACAATGTGCAATGTACTTTGGGAACGATTCAAGATTGTGGACGATAGACATTTGTGTATTTTCATCCCTCAGTCAAAATGTATCGGGATATGTCACTGGGAAACTATATTTTTTGCTTCTGTTATTTTAAGATCATGGTAACGACACGGTACCGGAAATGATCATTACCGTGAAATCCTAGGGCTTGATTCTGCTCCAAATTGCCATTAGCTAATCTGCAGGTTACGTGTGCTTGCTGGTTCCACAAAACCCATTGCAACTGCAAGATAATTGCTTGCTCGTCACCAAACACTTGACCTCTATGCTCTGTCATAAACCGCAAACGGGCAGGATTACTGTGCGATTTGAATATGTAAGCATAGTGACCGCATCCGCGCAATATTACAGGGCCCAGTTGTTCGAACACCGGTTAGCGCAAATCCAGGGTTAAATTTTAACCCACATTGCATTTTCTTTTTATCAAAAGCACTTTCGCGGATATTTTCTCTATTCTTTTTGGCGTATCCAATTATCAAATTTTAGGCAAAGAGAATTAAAGTGAATTTGCTTTTTAAGCTCTCATAAATTATTTCGCACTAACCCTGGGTTACCGTAACCCAGCTTTGAACAACCTGGCCCAGTGCTTGCTATGGGAGGGATGGTACCGCTGCTTCTCAGTCAATCAAAAAGTGTGAGTGAATGATGAACGAACAATGTGACAGCAGCTGTGACTACAAACGCTACAAAAATTCGAACTTGAAAACTGTTTACGGACAGACAGGAAGGGTCGCGCGATCGCCTCTTGTTTTTGGGTCAAAACTTATGTAGCAGACCCTCCCTCCGTGTTGATTGACCGAGAAGAAATAGTACCATCAGGAGGATAAAAAGCATTCTTTGATGTACATCTGATCTTTCACATTGAGGACTCAGCGTCTAACCAAAACAAATCCACAGAATCGATCTTTATGGAGCGCTGGAGCATAAGAAAGAGAAGAAAAGGAAGTACCAACAAAAAGTTTCTGAAAGTTTCACGTTGTAGTCCTGCAAAAGAACGGCAAAGAAATGTACAAAAACATTGTGCTGCAGATGTAAAGTTGCTTTTTTGCTAATTAAATATTGTTGAGAGCTTTGCTTTTAGCTCTCTGATATTAGTTTTTTACAGACCTTGTATTTTATTTTTTTATAGTACCATCTCCCATAGCAAGTGTATTGTCGCGCAGATGCAGTCGCTATGCTTGAATACTCAAATTGCGTAGTAATCCTGCCCATTTGTGGTTCATGACAGAGCATAAAGGTCAAGTGTTTGTTAATGAGTGAGCGATTATCATGCAGTTGCGATGGGTTTAGGGAGCAACTGAGCAAGAAGCCGGAGCACACGTAACCTGCAGATTAGCCTATAGCAATCTGGAGCTGATTCGTCGATTATTCTCAGTTTATAGCACTTCGCAGGGAGGCATGTGGAGATGGTCCGTTTTTTTTTGTAGCCAGCCTTTAATTCTTCTTTAGTGGATAGTACCTACAACTGCAAAAATCAACAAAATGCCACTTTAACCGGCCAGGAAAAACAAGGAAACGTTTAGTTAAAGGTACATATGTTAGCTTTGTTTTGTTATATTTTGACTTCTGGACTATTTTGGTTCATGGGAGATTCGACGACTCATCCCATTTTGTCCATGTTATTGACACACTACATCTGGGCCGCCTGTGATAATAGACTGATTTAGCAACAGAACGGGAACGTCAGTTGACGACGGTGCATGCAAATCAAACAACTGGAATGACCAATCACAGAGAGGAAAATGGAGCACCGGAAGTCGCGTTTAGTCCTTTCTGTGCGCTTTCCAGTTGTCTGACGTTCCTGTTCTGTTGCCAAATCAGCCTAATACATGCTAGCCTGAGTACAGACGTCCCCCCTCCCTCAGAAAAAATTGAGAGAAGAGACATCTGTGAATCGCCGCTGATAATCGTGTTCCCGTTTCCCCGGAATGTTGGGGACAGCCTCTGATTGGTTGTATTGTTAATGCCATGACGCAAATAATTTCTGGTGTTGCGATTGGTGAATGAATCTCAGAATAGATTCCCCGGGGAAAAACTCAGCTTTTGTGGACAGCTTATCACATTTGTATTTGTTTACTTTGATTTCGGCTCTTTGGAATAGGCATGTGAAATTAAGACCACCGATGTTTGCTGCACCGGTTGTGGGTGGACGTACTGAAATCAACGCTTAATCAGAGATCTTATATCTGGATGTTAGCGTGGACATTGCGAGAAGATGTTCAGCTAGCCTGTGTACAGATGCCAGGGCTATTTTTTGGCCTACATGTGCCGGTCATAACTCATAGAATTAGGCAAAAGTAAGGCTTTTGTAGTTTCTTGCTGAAGAGAAGTGAACGATCCTTTACATGAAACCTACTCAAAATCATCGAATGGATCAACTCCCGCAAAAAACGCTTGACTGGAAATGTAAACAGTGCTTCCGAGATCAAAATTTTGTCAAACCAAAAACCACAGGAAATCGATGTACAGTAACAGACAGACTTTATGAGCTAAAAAATTAAAAAAAAAAAAATTCAAAAGCATGAAATACTCGTTTTAAATGACATTTTAGCTAGATATTCTAGTTAGAGCCTAGCTTAGCAATAAATGTTGAGAACATCCGAGAGAATAACTGTGTACGTGCTCTAAAAGAGTCCCCAGTCATTTTGGTTTGTCAACACCTTTTCAACTGTCAGATGAAACAAAAAATTTATGCAAATGTATACCGGAACACGATTAACGACGGCGATTCACAGACCTCTCTTCTCCCGATTTTTTCTGAGGGAGGGGGGACGTCCGTGCACAGGCTAAATACACGCCTGACAATGGCCCCTGACAACATTTCCAGTTTGTCTGTCAGATAATTATTTTTTTGAGCCTGGATTATTCTGGGAGTATTTTAATCCACCCATGAAGCTTAAGCCTCTAAAGATTTCCTCAAAAATTCCAGTGGTTTTTCACGCAAGCAAAATAGCTGTATAACTGAAATTTAAAAAATAAAATGGAGAATAGGGGGAAGGCAACCAAAGACACGAAGATCCTTAGGTAAAAATTGTTTCTTAAGTGCCAATTAAGACATTTAAAGAAATCAACATTTTAGAAATATTAAAACCCTACTGAAAGCGGAAATTTGATCTACTGTACATGTCGCGTCGCTACGTCAGCATTACGGAATAACGAATCGAAGCGTCGATCAAACAGTTTCAGCGATAGCTATAAAATTGATTGTATACTAACTGGAGGGTTTATACCTTGCAATAAGTGCAGTAATTACACAGTGATCCCAGCGCATATTTTTTCTCGTCTCCTCCAGTGTTCTCCGTTGCAGAATTCTCAGCTGATTTGGACTCAGTGGCTTGCGTTGCATCGTTTGATGACGGGGCCTCCGTAGAAACTTCTGGCTTCTGCACAGGTTTCTCTTCCGAATTTTCGGTACTTTGTGCTATGTGCACAAGTACTACAAGGGTGAGAAAGCGATGGACAGTGAGAAGTCTCATAGTTATTCGGTTATGAATGAGTTACACCTGCACCGGGCACCGAGCGCCTCAATGAATGTTTGTTACACTTACACGAAATACTTACCTTTGCAGCTATCAGCCGCTACTCAAACAGAACGACGACAAAATGCTCTCTTTTCTCTTTTTTTTTGGATCCTCTTACCCCTCCCCAGACCGTAAAATAAATTGAAGAAAAAGAAAGACGCCATGAAACTATACATTCAAGAACACAGTTGTTTGAGATTGCTCTGCTGTGCTAACTGACAGCGAAAATTGTTTATGCTAATGGAAAGTTTTTTGGCTGTTCATGATTTATAAAAAATTTTCGTAAACTTTGGTTGGGAATTTTTGTTCGGTAAGTTGACGTGTACGAGTACGTCAGTACCATTTGCCTATAATTTCCGGATTGTCGAGCCGCGCTAGACTGGATTGTAGTTACAACATGAAACTAGTTTGAAACTCAAGAAACTTGTAAACGGTAAACCAGGGGCGTTCCGAACGGAAATTCGCTTACCAGCTCCCGCCCTCCCCGCCCTACCCGTCTACTATTGTTTGCTCACCTTTCCCATGAATCTTTGTGGGCAACGACTTCCGTCTTCTCTAGCGGAAACCAAGGGGCAGAAACTGACAAAAGTTGCTTGAAGGCCCAGGGGCCCCACTCACATATTTTAATGACGGGTGGGTCCGACAGAGGTTCATATTTTATACCCAAAAAAATCCCAACTTCAGAATTTGTCTACCCAAAAAAATTCCTACTTTTTTTAGCATACCCAAAAAAATCCCTCAGTGTTTTTGCATCAGCAAATTTTATTATTTATCTTCTGGAAAGCTAAACCATGCCAACTTCAACTTTGGTTTTGGTCAAAAACAAAACTATAAATTGCGCTTATGTTATTGTTGATTTGAGCTGATGAAAAATACAATACCCAAAAAAATCCCTGTGTTAATTGTTTTCGCGACCCAAAAAAATCCCTTTTGGCCAAAATGTCAGACCCAAAAAAATCCTTCGGACCCCTCCGTCATTAAAATATGTGAGTGGGGCCCCTGGGCTTGAAGGTGAGGAATGTTTAAGGGTTTTTTGTTTAACTTTTACTTTGTCTCTCTGATTTGGTTTCTCTCATTCTTAGAAATCCCGTTCCTCTGATTAGTATGTGTAATCAAATGATGACGAGTGAAATTATTCCCTAATTTCACGAGTATACCATTTGATTACCTATTGATATCATGGGTGACGAATTACGTTAGCAATCTTGGATTTTTGACATGTTTATCGCGGATCGTATCGATCGAGAACTCCTGCACTCTCTCGAACGTTTAGAGCTTAAATTTCGCTTAAGTTCAGAGTTTTTCGACAAAATATCTGTTAAAATCCTTCTTGATGTGCTCTTTCGTGTGTTCAGGTTTTCTAAAGCGTCTTTTTGTGCCCTGACATCATCATTCATGACATTTTAACACTTCGTCGCTATCTTGACACTGAGATGTACGGAAGGTTGCCATGGCAATTTTGTAATTTCACATGTGAAATTACAAATTAACGCTGAAATTTCGCGCCAAAATTAAGGAGTAATTTGTCATCTATGATATTATCTTTTAATGTCACAAGCGGCTGCAAAGCGCTATGAGTGAAACACGCAGTGAGGCGACGAATACTTTTCGTCGCCGTCGAAAATCGTACCTCTGGGTAGTGGGGGCAGTTTACATAATAACTAGTAATAGTTAACACTACAGCTGCCCCCGTTCTGTGTATTTTCGGTCAATAGTATTCTTGCTCGTTGTGTAGCTCTTTGAAATATACCGATTCACAATGAAGATTTTCACACTTATTCCATACAAAGGAAATACAGGAAACGCAAGGTTCTATGTACAGTTTCAGCTTGATTTACACAGCTTTGATCAAAACATTCTCAGTTTCGAGAATAGTTCATTCTAAACCATAAGGAAAGATTTAATTAGAAGTTTAACATTTCGCTATTTCTCTTTCACTGTTTACATTCAGTTCATTTTATTTGCCGGAAAGTAAGCCTTAGAAATTAAAAGGACGTTTGATCGATTCACGCTCACGCATTCTAGTCTTATTTGAAACTTTATAATGGAAGGACATCTGTGAGCAGGGAATAAGTCAGCACAGAATTTGATTGTCGGCGAGTTTCTGTAATCGTCCATCGTTCTGCTAGTGTTAAGCTAGCCGTTGTTCACTCGTATTACTTGTTTGGGGCTGAGTCTTATTCCGGTCAAAGAGAGAGAAAGAGTGTCTGGCAAGGTTTCCAATCAAAGATTTGTGAACTCGTGTCTGGCAAACTCTCCAAGTATTTATATATACACAGTTAAACGCACCTTATAACCTTATCTGCGCTTAACGAGTGTCTTTTGGTCCATAACTTTCAAAACAACTGCTCCACAGAATGTCACTGCGTAACACAAAAGAGTATCGAAGTATGACTGCACAATAAATGTCACAAAATCTACCTGAGCGGTCCTTTCGGGATTTTCTGTCTTTACGTCATCCTAACCATTTCGCACTTGCGGTTGCAAACAATAGAAACGTCATCATTACCTACCGATTCCTCACGGCCCCTGTTCAAGCAAATCGAGATTTTTTCTATGTTGACTGTATGACTGTATATTTCAACTGTAAGTACCTTCCTTAATATACGCGCGAGTTACTTGAGTGCCTCCTCGGGATTTCGCCTTCTGGGCAAAATCCCTGCGGGGGCAATTATAAGTTAACTGAAGGTATTTAACAGATCTCAGTTCTTTTGGAATTTACAGTTCCTAAATACAAACTCCAGTGATCATAGTGATACACGATTTATTTTAAAATCCCCAAAACGTGGGTCTATCGAAATGATGTAGAAATTTTAATTCAAATCTCAAAGCTAGCTGGCGCTTAGACTTGAGTAAGCGTTCTGAACTTCGCTAGCCTGCGTGGCAGTCATTTGAAAGGGATGGGAAGGGGGTTTAGGGCGCGAAAGAAACGCGAAGAGCGCGGTAGGGAGGAGGGAGGGAAACCGGTTAACACTCCTTTCCATACTCCAGTATGACGTTCACCAGGGTCACACATTAATGATTCATACAGAAATTAATTCTGCACGAAGGAAGGAACCGCATTGATTATGAATATTGATTAGGGTTAAGCCCTGAAAATAGTGATAATAAAAAAAAACAGTTAGCTGGTTAGTTTCTATTTAGGGTTAGGTTTGTTGCCCGGAGTACTTGGGTTAACGTTTGCTGGGTATGTGGCGCTGGCCTCTCAGAGCCCCTACCCCATTATAGTCTATTCTGTGGCCAATTACAGACCCCATCTTAGTCACTTTTGGGCAAATGTAATTTTCGCGATCCCAACTTAGTCACTTTATTTTTATGTATCTACCTTATCAAATCTTTAAATAGGTCATCCCAAAAATGAATTGACCCCATTTTTTAAATTGAATGAAGAACACTTAACTTATCACCTACAGTACAAACCAAGTTCTGGTAAGTTTGCCAACCGTAATTGTGAAGAGCTTTCTTACCCCCAAAACCCGAAAATGTGCGACCCCATTCTAGTAACTCTATTAAAATGCGACCCCATTATAGTCAATTCAGTCTTGAAAATGCGACCCCATTCAGCGCACATTCTCATAGAGGGTTGTTGCTATATAGCTTGCCTTCAAATCAAACCCTTGATCGTCAGCAAATCCTCGGTGGTGTAGTGGTTTAGGTGATGAACTGCAGATGTCGAATACTGCTCGTGCCATCGGATCCTGGAATTTTTTCCTTAAAAATTGAGGAGATTTAGACTCTCATGAACATTTTATCAAGAAGAAATTTAAACGGACATAGAAATTTCATGTAAGAAAATTGAAATGTCTTGTGAGAGCCACTGAGAGGAAAATGTCATTCTGGAGCATGGAAATGAGTGTTAACCGCGGGAAACGCTTGCCAGGAGACCACTGTTTTCGCCATCCCGCCTACTAATTATGTATGCAAAAATAACGCAACTGTGAATGACTAGCTGGCTTATAAGTCTGGCGGCGATGCATCAGGGGCACCCAACGAGAATGTAGTTCAAAACCAATTAAACATAGCATTGTTGAACGTATTTTAGTATTCAAACGGTAGATATAGGCATATGTTTATCCCCTAAAAATTTTTCACCTGTTCGGATTTCCTAGCTAAAAGTCTAGTGATCCGAAATTTATAGGGATCAAAACTTACCTTTTCGAAAATTTCAGCCAGAAAAAAGGCCCCCGAAAATTCTAGGTGACTTTTTTAGGGTAAAAATCCATTAAAAATGGGCAATTATACCATTTTTTAGATGTTCGAAAATCCTAGGAGAGGCAGGCAAGAAAGAAATTTTACCACAAATGTTCCGAAAATTCTAGATCTCAAATCGCCTTCCGAACAGATATTTTCTAAAAATTGACGTTGGGTGCCCCTGATGCATTTATTTTTAGTCGTATTTCTCGAACTGTTTTTCTTTTGTTTTCCTAACAAGAAATCTGAAACGAAGGTACTACAAAAAAGTTTAAATGCGGCCGTCCATTGAAGGAAGAAAGTTGCAACCATGAGTGGCTTGTTATATGAAATCCAGCATAAATCTATTTAAGTAAGTCGTTGCTGAAGGAATTGGGATTGACTTCGCAACTTGACGCAGTGTTTGTCTGAGAAAAAATAAAACACTGCTGACTCTCGAATTAGATCCAGTGGAGCATACAAAAGAGCAAGAAGGCTGCAATTAATTATTAAAGTAAGTTCCTGGGGGCTTTATAATGTCAAAAACCAGCAAGAAGTCCTCAAACCAAGAATAGTTAAGGATTATAGATCGCTTCGTCTTCAACAATGTAGTCTTTGATAAGGAGTTGCCTGCGTAGTCTATTGTTTTCCCTTTTTCTACAACGTTATCATATTTCGGAAAGATTTTAAAGGGCAACTAAGTGTGGTAAATTCTCGCCTGGTGCATGGGAATTTGATGTTATACTAAACTCGAGACAACAGCAAAAATTTTCAACAACTCTGAC